GAAGGCTGGGAGGCTTCTGTTAGCTGGAGAGGTGTTTTGATACTCAGACTCTACCCCAGGAGGAAGTTATACATTGCTTTGGTCTTCTTCCTGTGCAGGCTTTGAAAAAAATAAAGAAGGAAAGGTGACAGTTACATCAGAGTGTGTTTATAACACCTTGGTTATTGCTGTGATCGTGAGTCTTTTCATGCTGCTCAGTTGCCTTCTGACTTCTGCAGTCTTGGAAGGAGTCAAAGTTGGAGGATCTGAGCCACTGCAAGCATTGCAAAAGGAGTTTCTGTCAAAAGGGAAGGATTAAAATGCTGCTGTTAATCAGGATAGCAGCATTAGAATGGCAGATGCTCGGGAATCGTAGTCTGCAGGCAGGAGAGCCCCTATGGATGTGGCAGGGAATTGGTGGCCTGACCTTGGTGCACACGTGAGAGCACTGCCTGGTGCTGCTGGGTGAGAGGAGCTGAGGGAAGTGCCAGGTGGAGCCAGGCTCTGGCACCTGGCAGGGAGGTGCTGCTGGTCCAGGGAAGGCGCAGAGGCTGTTCCCACCCTCCTGCCCCGTGGGTCCTGCACAGGGACTGGCACTGCCCTCTGTGGTCCTGAGGTGAGGCTGGGTGTGATCCATTTGACTTTGGCCCTGATTCCCTATTGCTTGGCTCTGCTCTGTTGGGAGCTGGGAGCAATTCATGGCTAAGTGGCTGCGAGTTCCTTTTTGGTTACATAAGTCAGGATTTTGTAACATCACCCTACACTGCCTGTTGCTGAAGGGTTCGGGGGCTTGGGGCAAGTAGACTTGCTAAAGGCAGATGGAAAGCTTGTTTCACTCACAGCAGCAACCTGAGGCAGAAATTAGGTTTATAATCAAGCTAATGATGCGGTCTCTGAGTAAAATAGAATGTGAAAGCAGCTCAAACTGGAGCAGGGTGGAAAGCCCATGGAGTCCAAGCTAAGAGGACTTTGGAAAATCTAGAGGGATACATCTAGTGTGTTGGAGTGGATTTAAGGAGCTCTGCTATGTACCAAATAAAATTGCTGGAGCTGACTGCTGAAGGGTGCTGACTTTTTACTCACCTGATTGGCTTCTTGAGGTTGCCAGTTAGGTTGGTTATTCTTACTGAAGGCTGTATTAGTTAGCATTAACTTAATCCTTAAAACTAGTCTTCTGGCCAGAGCAGGTTTTACCAGGAATGTGTTAGACTGAGGAGGGATTTGTTGTCTAGAGGAATAAATTTGAACTTCTCTAACAAATGTCTTTGGAGCTTACAATTATAACTTGAAACATGTGCAGGGTTAAACTTTGAGACCTAAACCACTTGGGTTTGGTAGTTCTTTGAAAGCTTCTTGTGCAGTTTGTGAACTCCTGGATTGAGGTGTGTTTTCAAGGCAGTGTTCAAGCTCCTGGGAAATGGAGAACTGTAGGAGGGGAGGGATGGAGGGTAGTGTGGGGCTGAGCAAGGCTGGTGGCACTGGTTTGCCTGTGAGCCCCGAGGCCTCGCTGGCAGCGATGCCTTTCATGACTCAGGAAGCACAGCTGGGGGGGTCTGTGGCATAAACACACTCCATCTCCCTTAAAATGCTTTCATGGAACCCCTGAGTAGGATTTGGTTTGTTGGGAACTTTGGAGCACATTTAAATCTCATTTTGGAGCCTAACCATCAGTTTCTTGTGTGACTTTTATAGTTTTTAGGGTATGTCCTTCATGGATTTAGTTGTAGTAGTTGCATTCAACTTGGCCTTTGGGCAGGACACCTTGAACCTTGCTTTGTGCTGTGCTTCCACTTCCTCATTTTTGCTGAGGGACTCATTAATAGCTGTGAGATGGGTCAGGTTAATGGTAGGATGGACAGCAGTGGGCCCAGCCCTGGGGGTGTTTTGCTGTAGGGGAGGTGGCAGAAACTTTAAATTCTGTAGGATGCCTTCAGCTGGAAACCCAGCTCGGGGTGAGGGAGCCCCTGGGAGCTGAGTAACTCAAACTGGAATTTGATCTAAAGGCTGCTTGAGCCTTCACTTGTAAGCTCCTAAAGCAAAACCTTCTTTGTGTGCTTAAGGACCAGGAACTGTCTGGAGTGGGAACTGGCTTCAGATTTTGTTTTAATATCAGTGTGGTCAAGATCAGGCTTGATCACTGACTTCCTGGATCACAGGGGAATAGAACAGTTTGGGATCAGATCCGTGGAAGTTTGTAGATGGTACCAGGCTGTAACTGAACCCACCACGTGCTACGAGCTCCAGTTTTATGGGAACTCTGGAGTCATTTGTTCCGAGTTACACAAACCAGCTGGTTCTCAGCCTCCCTCAGCAACAACATCTGGAAGCAAAGGCCTTGCTGGGTCGAGTGTTGTGCTTTTGCAGTGTCTTGGGAACTGCTCAGGAGCCTGCAAAAGGCAAAGTAACCTCTGGGACAGGTTTGGCTCTGCAGCAGCCAGGGGTACTCCTCTGTGTGTGCCTGGATTGATGCAGCTCCATTCCTGTCCTTAAACTTGGCTCTGCAGCTCTGACCAGGGAGTAGTGGGAGTCTTCGAAGCAGCTGGAAGGGAATGGTGTGTTAAAGGGATTATCCATGCCCTGCCAGGAAATCCATTTTGCCTCTCTGGTGGGCAGAGGCAGCTGGTGCCTGCACTCCAGAGGGGTCTTAAACTTCCTCATTGCTCTCCAAGCTGTTGTTCTACAAAATATGGGAGGTTTTGTGTTGCAGGGGTTTGAAATGGGAGTTGGTGCTAAACTTTTCTAGGCACAAGGAGCTTACACATTGCTTTTTACACGGACCTTTTAATCTGTGATGTTTCACTCTGTGAATTTGTAAAGCAGAACCTGAAATGCCACCTTGTCACTGAGACAAGTGGTACAAGTGCTTGTTGTAAGTCGTGGCTTTCCACTGAGATAATACCCAGGGCACCAAAGTATTCCTTTCTAGCTGGAACTGGAGATGTAGAAAATGAAATAGTATTTTGATGAGAAATGGAGCTGCTACTACCTGAACTTCACTGCTGCCTCTGTTGGAGAGTTACCTTGTGGTCCCACTGTTGAATCCAGTGTGGTGAAGCCCTTGGTGCATTTGGGCAGCAGGATACAGGGGGAATGTCAGGGCAGCTTTATGTGTATTCTACTAACTGGTGGAGTGTGTGCCCAAGCTCCTGTTTGTAACCATTTCCCCTGTATAGTAGGGAAGCTGCATGTTGTGTGTTCATAAATATAATCCATGGTGGGCTGTGGTCCTACATGGAGAATGTGGATTCTTACAGCTGTGCCTTCCTAGTTTAGTGTATGCTTTGTACTGATGTATGAAACAGGATGAGAAGTGGCAAGGAATATTTTTTAATGAGTGTGTTTGTGATTTTGAATACCGTAGCATTAAATTGTCTTTTCCAGAAAATTAGAGTCCAGTAGCATTTGGAAGTGGACTGTGTTCTATACAACTTTAGGAAGAGTAGGTGTATTCCTGTTTTTAAGTTTTCATGTGGAGACTCCCTTCATTGGCTGGACTGACCCCGAGGAAGGTGTGTGTAGTGTCTGCACCTTCCTGTGCTGCCCTGGTGGTGCAGGGTGTCTCCTGGCTTGCTGCTGCTGGAGCAACTCCAGAGGGCTTTCAGAGATGGCACATGGAGCACTGGAGATGTTCTCTCCACCTTCAGGATGGAGGAGGCTCTTGAGCAGGTGCTGTGTGTGCAGTGCCTGTTCCTGCCCCAGTCTGTTCTGAACCACAAAGTGGAAGAAACTCAGCAGGAGCTCCACAAAAGCTCCCATAGACTGGTGAGTCAGGAGATTTCCAGCTGGGCTCTTCAGCAGTTGGGAGCTTCTGAGAGCTGAACCAAACTGTGTCAGGGAATGTGAAGCTTTGGATCTGCACTGCATCCAGAGGGGGAAACCCAGAGATTTACCTGTTTGATGTATGGCAGCACTCCGGGGTTGTAACTGGAGAGGGTTTGCTTCCTGATCGCCTCCCAGTTCCTGGGAAGTAGAAGCTGGAATTCCCAGAGATCATCTGTTCAAGAGTTTAATCACTCACTGCCTGTAAATAACAAAAGGCCTTTAAGTGACAAACCTCTTCCACTCCTGCTATCAGCTTGTCTTAAACATTGTCCTTAAATGTTTTGTCTGCCAAAAGCCTGGTATGGAAACTTCACTGTGGACTGTTGCTGGGAGGTGAAAAGCTGAACGAACAACGGACCAGGGACAGCATGGAAGTGTTTCCTGAGCACTAGATTTAGTTGTAATCCTTGTCTGGTGTGTGTTCAGCTTTCTAGACTGAGCTAGGACAGAAAAAAGCTGATATGTGTGGGCCTATCATGCAAAGCAGGTCAGTGGCTGAGCCAGAAATGGGGCAGGTAAAGTTTGTCTTTAAAGTTTTACTCTATTTTCACTTCCCAGTAAGCATCCACTTCCTGAGAAAATGGCTAATGTGAGTTGCTGGTAACAGTAATTCTCTGAACTGTGCTAAAATGTTGCTTCAAACTGAAGCTTGGTATAATTCAGGAGTACTGTGAATTACTCAGCCCACTCAGACTCATAATGGGATTTTTTTCAGAGGAAAATTTGACTGGCACAGCCACTGAAAAGTGAGGGTTTCCATTCAGGTCTGTAGGTAGGGAAGGCCTTGTGTTTTATTCCATTTCCCCCTGCTCTGTGGTCAGTGATGTGTTTGTGTGGAGGCAAACCAGCCCCAGGTTACTGGAGCTGTGTGTGCTGCAGGCAGGCTGTGGAGGTGATAAACTGGATCACTGTAGCTGGAGCAGTCTGGGAACTGTTACAATAGAGGGGATAAAATAAGGCTGATACAGAGAGTTGTTGGATTGAGGCCACCTTATCTCCCTGTGACCTGGGCACAGTGGAGGATATAATGCCTCAGTAATGCTGGGACAGTGCAGGCAAACCCAGCAGACCCTGTGACATGGTGAGATTGCTGTGACTCCGGGTCTGGGCAGCCTGCACAGGTCACTGAGGCAGGTGCCAAACGTGGCTCCTGGGTTGAAGATGCAGCTTTACTTTCCAAAATCCTGGCTGTTAGTTTTGTGACCCTGCCAGAGTTGCCACCAGCAGCTTTTTAGCAATAACATGGTTGTTTTTGAAACGAAATGAACTGAACTCTTCCTGTTTTGTAGGAGTTGAACGATCTGGCACGTGATCCTCCAGCACAGTGTTCAGCAGGGCCTGTTGGGGATGACAGTAAGTATCCTGCTCTCAGCAGACACCTGCACTCTGCCACTTCTTTCCTCCTAAAACAGGATGTCCAGCACCTCAGCAAGGAGAACCCTTCTATTTCTTCTGGTTAGAGTACTAGATACTGCTCCCCATCCTGATATGAAATTTGTTGCTCTTCTGTATCCCTTTAACACCTTCCTTGTGTATCACTGATGCTGCTCCCACTCTATTAATTGGACAACTCGATGCATATCTTAAGTTACACCTTTTGAGTTAACTGTTCTGGAATTCTGGATGGAGTTAGGAAACCTCAGTAGCTCTGTGGCCAAACCAGCAAGCACCTGCCCACAGCTTTCTGCACTTGGATATCTAAACTGTACATGGTGCAGTCATGTGTTCTTGTAGAACTAAAACAATCTACTCCCAGGACTCCTGCTAGTACAGCAAGGTCAGGGTTAGCTCTGTTTTACACAGCAGTTAGGTAACACTGCCTTTTTTTTTTTTTTGAAGAGGGTTATATGTAGACCTTGAGGTTGAGAGGTTAAAATGTGGTTGGAAGGAAAATGTGGACAAATTACAACTTGAATCATGAAGTAATGTTGGTTGGGTTTGGTTTTGTTTTTTGAATTTATAGGCAGGATTTCAAGCAATTTCACTTGGTTTGGAATCCTTCTTGTGGCTTTCTCAATAAGCAAAACCAGAATGTCTAAACTCTGCTGTCATGACTAACCTGTGGCCTGACTGGGACATGGGTGCTTAGGGATGAGGGAGGAGGTGCAGGAGAAGCATCCTTAAATCATACACTTCGTCAGGAACCATAGTGACAGCAAAAGGGGGAATAACTTCAGACTGAGAGTAAGTTTAGGTTGGATATTGGGAAGAAATTCTTCCCTGTGGGGGTGGTGAGGCCCTGGCACAGGTTGCCCAGAGAAGCTGTGACTGCCCCATCCCTGGGAGTGTCCAAGGCCAGGCTGGATGGGGCTTGGAGCAACCTGGGCTAGTGGAAGGTGTCCCTGCCCATGGCAGGGGGTGCAAAAATACGATCCTTGTGTTCCCTTCCAACCCAAACCATTCTGACTCTGTGTTTGTAACCTGTGCCCAGATCAGTGTGCCCTGCCAGCTCCTGGTAGGGGACAGCCTCAGACAATCTCTTTGGCCTCCACATCAGCTGGTGTTTGCTGTGCCAGGCTGCTCTCCCGAGGTGTGATTTGCAGTTATTCTGTCCTTTTGAAGCTCGAGGAGGTGTGTTAAGCAGGAAAAAAGCAGCTCTTTAAAATCCTACCCTGATTTTTTTTATCTAATGTTGATTTATAGTAAGAAGATCTACTGTCATCTTGTGCCTGTATTTTGGCCCAGGGAGGGGAGGACAAGATACATCGTGTGACTTGACTTCAGGCTGTTTATGTGGCTGGTTCTTACCTTAGTTGTAAGTGGTGTTCCCCAGTCTGCTTTGATTAGAATCATGGAATATCCTGAGTTGGAAGGGACCCACAGGGATCATCCAGTCCAACTCCTGGCCCTGCCCAGGACACCTCAATACCACCCTGTCCCTGAGAGCGTTGTCCAAACCCTCCTGGAGCTCTGGCAGCCTTGGGGCTGTGACACTGCCCTGGGGAGCCTGTTCAGTGCCCAACCACCCTCTGGGGAAAGAACCTTTTCCTGATATCCAACCTAAACCTCCCCTGACACGGCTCCAGGCCATTATTAGCTGTGAATAAGGCACCTTAACTGATACCCTGTACATTATGATGGTTTTCTGTGAGAGGCCTTTCACCTGCAGCAGTTCTGCAGGTTGTACCATCTTCTTCATTTTCACCAGAAAGCCTAAAATTATACTCAACTATTTTTTTAATAGCACCATCAAACTCTTGTCATAGCTTAGGTGAGCAAGATCAGTAGGATGTTTGCAGTGAGACAAGAACACTTGCAAATCCAGCTTTTCAATGTGGTCTCTCACTGATATACTGTCAGCAAAGCTTCCAAGCTCCTAAGAGAGGGGATATTTAAGTAGGGAAACCCTCCAGCTGTTTGCTGAGAGCTCTGAGCTCAGGTGTCCTTTCTGAAAGGAAAAAATTAGCCACCAAGGTCTTTCTGAATAATTTCTGAACACTTCAGCAGTTCTGAAGTGTATAGAAACTTCCACATTCCTACAGAAATGTAGACCTAGTTTAAAAAAAAACCCACTTGAAACCTGAGAATGAAAATACTGAAATTAGTGGGGGTGTTACTGTTGAGCAGAACTGTCAAACAAGTGGAAGCTCAGCTTGGCTTTGAGAGTGTTTAGCAGTAGGGTCAAGCTTTTAGTGACTTCACAACTTATTTCTGCTTTCCAAATAGTGTTTCAAAGAGGTTTGTAGTTTCATGGAAAAGAAATGACTAAGATGGAGAGCCAGGCTGAGGCTTTTATTCCCTTAAATTAGCGAGTGCGATTTGTGCCCCGATAAACTGCTTTGTGGTTTCCAGAGCCTTATCAAAGGTGATGACGATTGTCTGGCAGAGAAGGTGGAAAGTTACTGCTGAGCACAGAAAGCTTTAAATTACTAAAAGTTCTTCTTGTGCCACCTTTCTGAAGGACCTCTGATGAAAGACTTTAGTTGTTGAGAGCAACAGTTCGGGGGTGTGTAAGTGGATAGCAGTGGCAGCAGCAGCAAAGTGCCTTCTCCCAAATCCCTGTGCCCCAGGTGTGCCTTGGCTGCCTTGTCAGAGTGACATTTCCTGATGTTCAGGACATGCTGTACTTGCAAAGTGCTCTCCTGTGGCTACTTCAGCTGATACAAACTGTCCCCAGCTATAAGTGTCTCATCCCTGTAGTTCATAAACTTTGGGAAGTGAAGAGCTCTTCCTGCCTTGTTAACTGTAGGAATGGGATTTTCTTGGCAATGTAGTTTTAGCCCTTTTCCACCCACCTCTGGCCTGTGTTTTGGAAATGTGCTTGGGACTGGATGACATTGGTGTGCTTCCAGTGGCTTAACTATTCCAGACATGTACCTGTGCTTACCTACTGAAAGTCAGCAGCCCCCTTACTTTGTAAATACCTTTTTATGGGTGATTTCAAAGGAAAGAATCAATTGGAATAAGCTCTGCATGTCAAATCCATCCTGTCGTTCATCAGACTTGTCCTGGATATTGTGAGGATCTAAAGCTTAGGTTAAACAAGCTCTTTGCTTGAGCCTGGGGTTGGAGCTTTCAAAAAGTTAAGATTCACTGTGGAAATGTTTTTCTTTCTGGTTTCTTGTTGGGCTTAAGACGATAGATGGTTATTTGAACTTCTCTTTTCAGTGGTGCCTGTGTGCACTCCAGTGAATCTCATCAGCATCTACTGGTGCCTGTGAGATTTTTGGTGGTTTTGCTGTGACTGGCCACAGTCTTCCCTATGGGGTTCCTGCTGCCCCTTTGTCCTCTGCTCCAGGTTTCTCCCTGTCACCTGCAGCTGGACAGGCACTTCCTGGGAAGCTGGCTGAACCCCTTGAAAGGGGGGGAATGCCACATATGGACATGTGATCTGCTGTCTCTGTTTCCTGGCTCTGCACTGAATGTAGTTTCTCAAAGGCTGCTGCATCCAAGCTCCTGAGAGAGGAGATATTTAAGTAGGGAAATGGGCTGAGGGCTCTAAGCTCAGATATCCTTTCTAAAAGGAAAAAAATCAGCTGCCAAGATCTTTCTGAATCATTTCTGATCTGTTCACCAGTGCTGAACTGTATAGAAACTTCCACATTCCTATAGAAATGTAAGACTAGATTAAAACAAACCTGCTCCAATCCAACACTCATTTCCTCTGTCCTTGCAGGGCTGTTCCCACTTTGCCTTTTTCCTTCTTCCTTGTATGACATCATTCCCAGCTGTAATGCCTGTACCACGTGTAATTAAAAACTGCTCATGCTAGATTAGAACAGGTAGTACCACTCCTAACTTCTGGCCCAGGTAGTCTTGACAGCTGTAGACACCACACATCTTGTGTCTGGAAGGCTTCCCTAGCAACAACTGGAGTCACCTCCAGCTTCCCAGTCTGAAGGTGCCATGTAGCTGACATCCATGCTGAGGGGAGCTTCCATGGTCCTATTTCCCAAATAATTTGTGCTCCTTGCCCAGGCACTGGAGGCTTTGGGGATGCAGGAACTCCAAGAACTCCCTAATGTGCCTCATACAGATTATCAGCTTGGATTGTTTTCCTTTCCAGCATGACAACATTCTTCACAAGTCCTCTGTATGACCAGATTTATGTTCTCTTGGACAGATGCATATGAGTGAGGTTTAACTTTAGTCCACTTAACCTAAAATGTGTCCTAGCACATTCTGGTCCTGAGTCTGGAGCAGACTGTTGCTCCTGCATTCTCTTAAGACATTGCTTTCTGCTGCTTTAATGAAACCTTGAGGCCTCTGTGGAGAGACTAAGCTTAAAAGTTCAGTGAGGATAGCAGTGGCTTAAATTACCTCTGTACATGTGGTGTACACAGAGCTGGGGCTTGTTCTCTGTGTGACCAGGGCTCTGAGAGGAGAGCAGGTATGAGCTCATCATGTACCTTTTGTCCTCACAGGGCAGTCGTGGAAACTTGGTTCAGCTGCTTCATTAGAAACTGCAGAGTTTAAACTCACAGTTCTGAGTCTGAAAGGTTGCCTAGGACTGTCTGGATTTCAATTGTCACAGGATTTTTGCAGGGCATATGTGTGGTACCACAGCAATCCTGGGCTGTGGAGCATTGAGTACTTTGCCCTGTGTCTGTTTAATTCTTTGGCTCCCTTCCCTGCAGCCTTTCAGAAGGCTTTGTTTTGAAAATAGACTTTTCTGTGCTGCTTTGTCTGGAAGAAAGTAAGATCATTACTTGAGCTTCTCCAAACTGAAGTAAATCTCTCTCTCTTTCAGTGTTCCATTGGCAAGCTACAATAATGGGACCAGTAAGTATGAGAGAATTGATGCTCGTGGCTTTTTATGGTGGGTTGTCTTGTAATAACTCCTCAAGCTGCAATGATTCTTTCTCATTAACAGAACGACAGTCCCTATCAAGGTGGAGTATTTTTCTTGACAATTCACTTCCCAACAGATTATCCCTTCAAACCACCTAAGGTGAGTGGCTTCTACCATAAATCCATCCTTTACCATGTGGTCTGATGTATATATTTGTGAGCCTACACTGAAAATTTTCCTTCTTCTGCAGGTTGCATTTACAACAAGAATCTATCATCCAAATATTAACAGTAATGGCAGCATTTGTCTTGATATTCTACGGTCACAGTGGTCCCCAGCACTAACTATTTCAAAAGGTACCTCCAATGCTCATTTTAATGTTACTCTGCTGAAATGAAGTACTGATTTGGGATGTAAAAACCACTGCATTCCTGCTGGCATCAACCATTTCTGTGGTCACTGCTTCAGTGTGACCCTGCCTGGAGCTGACAGCCAATTCCTGAGTGTAGGATGCTCGGGATATCCATCTTCCTTGGGGCACAGGGACACTCCTCAGCTTTGCCAGTGGATCAGATAAGTCCTGCTGCACTGAGTACACACTTCTGCCACCTCACCTCAGAGTCTGAACACTGACACTAGGCTAAATTTTATATATTTTTAGTTAATGACAATGAAAGACTTTAATGTTCAGAATACACACCAAGTAAAATATGTAAGGGAGCAGCTGTAGTTTTAAGAAGTTCTAAACTTGTCTAACTGTTTGGCATCTTAAAAGACCCTTTTTCAAGGAAACATCATAACTTCGTGTTGGCAGCTTTTAAACAAAGCTTTCAATGACATGCACTGCTAAAGCATGTTATAAAACTTAACTAGCTTGCACTATCTTGACTTTTTTTAGCTAAAAATATCTTGGACCCTGTGAACTGAGTTAGTGGTTAGCTTGGAATGTATCCTTTGCCTGGTAAAGCAGAATTCATATTTATTATAAATACGAGGCTTTAAATGCTTGAAAGAAGACCCAGGTTGGAATTTTATTGATTTTTCTGGCTAATGAAACTATAGATTTATAAACTGTAGATCAAGTTTGTAGGTCTAGCCATGGCTATTTAGGAATATTTTGAATCTACCCTGTGCATGGGCCATGTCTCAACTCCTCTGTTTTGTAGCTTCACACTGTCCTTGTGCTCAAACGCTGCAGTTGCCACATTGATGACATTATCCTTCACATCATGTCTCTGCTCTGAGGCTTTCCTGTGCCCTCTCCTTCTCCCCAACTCCCTGTGATGTTTCTGGGCAGTTTTTGCTTTAGGCAGGTGATTTCTGGTACATCCCTTGGACATCATCATTGTCTCTCTTTCCCTGAACCCACAGAAGTTCCCACCTTCTCTGTCCAGCTAAAGGCATTTGTAGAAACAGTTGGAAAGGCAAAACAGTATCTCCTTGTCTCTTGTCAGAAGTGAATTTGCTCGTGCACGAGGCTGAAAGGCTTTGTTGTGAGTTGAAAGAACTGAAGAAATGGTGTCAGTAAAGGGAAAATGATTGTCAGGTTGCTGTAATTTCCTTACAAGTGCTCTCAGTCAGTACTGGCTGCTCCTGGAAGCACCAAGTTAGCACCAAGCACTGACATCTGTTCTGGTTTGATTTAATTGCTGTATAACTGGGCAGAATGTGTGTTGTTTTAGGGAGTCTAAAGTGGCCATATGGGCAGTGGGGTGATAGACAGCATGCTTGAAAATACTGGGAGATAGACTGGAATTGGGACAGTTGGGAAAAGATGGGACAAGAATTCAAGAGGCTGGTTAAGGGCAGCAGTGGGCTGAAAATACATCCTAATGTTAATTTTGCTGCCCAAATACATTTGCAATATGCTTTAACATCTCCTTCTGTTTTCTGCTTTGGACTCCTTTTTTTCCTTACCCTTTTATACTGTATCCTCCTGGCTCAGCTGGAGTTCTGTGGGATCAGGGTGGCTGTTCTGTGCCACTGTGTCCCTTCCACTGCCCCCTGTGAGTGCCTGCTGGGGTCAGGGGGCTCTGTAATGCTGATCATTTCTCACTCACTGAAGAGAAGTTCATTCAGTACCCAAACTTTGCTGCACATGCAAAGCATCCATACAGCTCTAACCTGGGAGAAAATCTTTTTCCCAGTTCCCTTGGGGTACATTTATTGAAGGAATTAAAACAGCAAAGCAAATTCTTATAGGTGACTTTACAGAAACTGGGAATACTTTCCTCAGAATCACAGAAAGCAGAGCTCAGCTTCAGAAGCAAAGAGCTGATGGTCCCATCTGGAACAAGTGTAAAGAAATTGCACAAAGGCAACTTGAGTCTTTTAGGGCTGAAATCTTGTGTTCAGTCAGGTTAGAATGTGTCATGACAGACTTTGGGGCTGTTTCAGCTCTCCAGTGACTGATCAGCCTTGTCAAAGAATGGATGTGTTCCTAGCAGGAAAAGCTGTTGGATTAGGTAGTTTAGAGTGAGTAACAGGACTTAAGACATTCAGCAATAAGCTCACATCCCTTCCAAAGCAGCAATTTAGTATTTGTGTTGTAGATTTCTTAGAGTATTTCCTAAATTGTGCCACCTTTTAACTGGGATGCTACTGGGAGCAAGCTGTTTGAATTTAAAATCTGTAAGCAGATAACTAGAGCACAGCTGAAAAAAAAAATGTGCTTTCTACTGATTGAGAAATCTGGAAAGACTAGAAACAGTCCTTCTAGGAAAAAGCTTATCGTGCACAGCTTCCTCCTGAGGCAGCTGGGAGGCAGCACTGTCAGCAGCTTGGATGGGCTTGGTGTTATGTTGCAGTTAATGTGTGGTACATGAACGTGTTTTACACCTTAAACCTCCAAGGAGGGAGGGGAAGGGGTGTGCAGTGACTTCCTTTGGATTTAAAGTGTCACTTTTTGGTGAAAAGGCAGTGATAAATCTTGTCAGTGGTAGTTAATCATCTCAGTTTGCTGGTGAAGGGTCTTGGCCCCTCACACTCTGGAGCCCTCTGTAAGCAACTTGATAAAGTGATTGTGGCTATGACAGGTGACTGGCATTTTGGGCTTTTGTTCTGTCCCTCCTGGAATTGTTAAAACAGCTTCTGAAGACTTGGGGGAACAACAGTGAGTGTCTCAGTAGAACAGCTGGTTTGCTTGTATTAGTAATTCTTTACTCAGTGTTCCTTAAAGAATACATATTGGAGAATAAATCATCTCAAAATACAGTCTTAACCACACCTTGGTGGGCAATTTGAACTACAAGGCTTAAGTAGAATGTGTAGGCTTAAATTAAAAACATTATCTCCAAGTCTGTACAAATAAGAATCCCTGTTGCCTGAAACAGGAGAATGAAGTATTTTAACATGATTACAGCTGTTCCCAGCCACTTTTGGGGGGAAAAACCCCCACACTTTCTCTTAAACTTGGCAAGGGGATGTGCAAGAGTTGATCATGAAGTACTTCTGCAGTGAAAGTCAGTCAGCTCACTCTGTCCTGTCCCACTTCTCCCCATGTGTTGTAACTAGTGACTCATGGAACCTGTTTTGAGTGTGCTGGAGGGGCAGTGAGGAACTTCAGCCTCAGTCATGGCAGAGTTCAGCTCTGCTGTCCAAACTTCCATGCCCAGTGTGCTGTGGATTTTCTGTGCTGCTGCTCTTCAAGAATTGCTTAACTGAGACTTACTGTGTGGGATTTCCCAAGTACCCAGCGACCTAAATGAACTGGACCTTCACAGTGCAGTCTTAAAAATTGGGAACCTGGTTTCTGATCGTCTTCTTGGCACTTTAATTTGCCTGTTGTAACACTTACCCACATAACTGGGTGGCTTTGTCACAGAGCATGGGTGTGACATGATGTGCTGAGTTGGGGTTGTAAGGGAAATGCCCATTTTTGCTTTTCAACTCTCAAAACTATAGTTTAACCACTTGTGCAGCTTCCCAGATGTTGCTCCAAGGAAGTTTGTGCTAGGAGGAGTGCGGCTGGCAGGTTGAGGGATGTGATCCTTCCCCTCTGCTTGGCACTGGTGAGACTGAATCTGGAGCACATCTCCAGTGCTGGGCTCCCCAGAACAAGGAGGTCATGGATGTACTGGAGAGAGCCCAGTGAAGGGCCATGAATGCCATGGAGGGACTGGAGCATCTCCCGTTATGAGGCAGGCTGGGAGCTGGGACTGTTCAGCCTGGAGGAGAGAAGGCTTGGGGGGATCTTATCAGTGTCTGTAAATACTTGAAGGGAGGGTACAGAGGTGACAGAACCAGACTGTTCTCAGTGGTGCCCAGTGACAGGGCATGAACTGAAGCACAGGAGGGTCCCTCTGAACAGCAGGAAACACCTTTTTGTGTTTTATTTTTACTGTGAGAATGCTGAGCACCAGCACAGGTTGCCTTGGGAGGTTGTGGGATCTCCTGCCTTTTGAGATACTCAAAAGCCACCTGGACACAGTCATGGCCAGCCTGCCTTAGGTGGCCCTGCTTGAGCCAGGGGGCTGGACAAAATGATCTCCAGAGATCCTTTTCAACCTCAACAAGTCTGTGGTACACTGGGCAACACTTAACTTTTCTTCTTTTGTCACCAGAAATTGTTGAACTGACTTAGCAGGAATTCAAGTTGCTTTGAAGCCAGAAGTTTAAACTGCTCAGATTTAAAGGTACACTTCCTGTAGGGCTGGGGAAGAGGCTGGAGGAGTTGGAAATGGGACTGTGGTTAAGAAATAGGATTGAACTGGAGCAGAGTCTGAAGCTGCTTTAATTTTATTTGGGTGCATCTTGCCTGTTCACAGCCAGGAGCCACTCATTTGGAGCTGTTGGACCAGTGGTGTTTTCAGCATGTTTAAAGTTAAAAGCTTAATGTTTGTCAGTGCTGATAAAACTCTTTGACAGCTGTGTGCCTCAAAAGTTTCAAGAGTCTGGGGCCTGAAACTCCAAAGCAGTGATTGTATAGGAGAATGCTCCTTCCAGGAATCAGGTTGCTTCCTGATTTTGAGGAATAGAGGTGGAAGTAGCAGTGGGCCTTGATGTGGAGGCTGCCAGGCATCAGTGAAGGAGCTGCTGAGAGAAGCAGGACAGCTGAATGAACCCCCCAACACGGAATTCAGAATTCCTCAGCAGTGTTGTGTCCAAGGCTCATATTTCTGCTGGCAGAGGTGTTTCACAATCAATTAAACCTGAGCTGACACACTGTTAGTTTCATATTCAGAGACTTTGCTGGATCAGGAGGCACAGCACTGTCTCCTGGTCTCCAGGAGGTGACAAATGGCTTTCCACAGAAAGACCTTATGGGCACAGTGTTCATCACTCCCCTGGGACAGCAGGTGGGGTGGGCTGCTGCCATTGCTGGGAACTGCTGATGGCCAGGAATCAATGCTTCCCTGTGTTATCCAACTGTTCCATGTCAGTGCATGACCTTTTTGATTATAAGGTGATCCTGAGACTCCTGTGTGACTCCAGCCAAGACAGAGAGCTGAGTAAGTGTCATCCTGCTGTCCTGACAGTCTGGCATGCAGAGCAACCATCTCAGCACTTTCTTGGTACTCTGCACCAACAAAGGGTTTGTTAAATAATCTCTGTGCTTGCTTAGAGATGGACCCTTGCTCCTGGGTGGATTCTAAATTGGCTCCTCTTTGGAGAGCAGTAAGTGCACCAAGCAACTGTTGGATCAGAACACACCAGTTGTTTCTTCTGGATAGCTTCATTACCTTGGAAAAATTGGTGCTTTTCATCTCCCTGCTGTGATTCAGCTGGAGATTCCATTGCTCCTCAGTTGCTTTTCCTTACCCTGAAGTGTCCCATGGATGAGTGCTTTACTGGAGCAGGTTTGTTTGGAATTCCAGCTAGACTTAAACAGCAGTATCTGTAGTGGCTGGTACTCTGTCAGGGATGGCTGGAGTGGTGGATATTAGACCAGTCAGGCTTTGCAGACAAAGTGAATCATCTGGGGGTTGTGTTTGGAAGATGAGGAAGTGGAGATCAGCTGCTTTTAAGAGTCTCTTCACCTCTGAGTTCCAGGAACTTTAACATGCCTCTTAAATTTGGATGAGCCAATAGATGTTCCAGTAGGGCTTTAAACTGTGTTCCACACTGCTCATTTGGCTACTGCTGGAAGGACCTGTGGAGAGCTGTTGTCATGGGTTGTCCTGAGCTGCTTCCTGGCAGAGGAACCTCAGCCACGGAATTTACAAGTGGAATTTGCATCTTACCCACCCCTTCAGTCTGAGGTGGGGCAGAAGCAGGAAGGTGAAGTTGCTCATTGGGGTGGGTGAGCTGGCCTGGGAGGTGTGAGAGCACAGCAGCTGCTGAGGAGGGGAGGTGGATCATGCTGTGCTGAACTGTAGCTGATCCTGCTGACAAGCTGTCCATGGCAGGATTTTCTGCCTGGAGAGATTGTGCTTGAACTTCAGAGTGTTTTGTGAAGGCAAGTCTTGCAGTGGGAACTTGGATGCCAGTTGTGCTGTGTTACACTGTAGACTGTATTCTGCATGTTTCTCAAACAGTCTAATATTAACTCTTCAGTGACCATTCTGCCTGATGAAGGTGCATTTCTCTCACTGCTCTGTGGGGAAGCTAAGCCCATTTTTAGAACCACTTTGTTGTCAGCCTGTTTGCTTGATGAGTTTGGTTCTCCCAGTCCCTTCGTGTTATGAAGTACTTGGTCTGTGCTAGTTCCTGGCAGCAGGAACCACACTGAAGACTAGGTTGTATTTGTTGTCTGCAGAGATAGATAGGGAGCACAGCTGAAAGGTTGGAGGTCAGTAGGCTGCCTGGTGAGTGAAATAAAACAAAGCAAACCCAATTTTGAAGTGAAAGGGAGCTTTAAACTGATAGTGGTTCTGAGTTGCTTAATGTTCTGCTGCAGACTGGGCAACTCTGACAGCTAGGAGTGAAGAGATGAGAAACAACTCTGTACAGAGCTGTTTCAAGGGAGGAACCCTTTGAATCAATGGCAAGGAAAGTTTATTTTGCAGTTACTGACAAAAATCCAGACTTGAATTCAAGGAGTGCACACTTGTGGTACATCCCTTCCAGTGGGAGACTCCAAGGGATGCTGTCAAGCTGATAATGCTTTGCCTATGGTCATGCAGGATGTGTAGGACAAGGTGTAAAAATGTCACTTACCTGCCTTGTGTAGTTATTCAGCTTGATTCTGTGGTTACAAAGCTTTTTGGAAACTTTTTTATTGTCTCCTACCAATAGAGTAGTCATTTGAGTAGTAAATGTCAAGGCTTTGCTGTGGAGCTCATTGCTGTAATACTTGATTGCAGAGGAGGGTGGTCTGGTGAGTCTCTAATTCCATAGTGTTGGTTTAATTAGTTGCTCTGATACACCACTGACATATTTGATTGCTTCCTCTTTACTCTTGCACTTGAAACTTGGAGAAGGTGCCTTTTCCAAGGGGTTTTTCCATAGTGGTCTGGAGGCTCCTTATGTTGGTTGGTCTAAAAGGTGTGTATGTGCAATGTTCTAGTGGAAAACCTCAAGAGAAACTTCCTGAATTGATATGGACAGATAGCTGGGTTCAGCAGGATATTAAAATTACACTAGTTTAGATAACTGGTTAAAAATGCTCTTCTTGCTGGGGCTGTACAGATAAAAATGGAATGAAGTCACCAGCAAGAACAAGTGTAATGAGAATAGTTTGGATTAATGAAGACTTAAAAAAATTAAACAAAGCAGATGAATGTGGCAGTGCAGCTTGAAGCCAAATGATTGGGTCCATTTTTATTCAGTGTTTTTTGAGTGATGCTGAAAAGTGAACTGCTGAGTGTTGGGAAAAGGGGTGTTAGGGTGGGCTGAGAGCACTGACCAGGCCTGCAGTGTGGTTCTGAGCCACTGTGTTCCGAAAAGTCCTTGGTTTTTAAAGGCTGTGGTAAGATAAAACTTGAGAGAATAGTTACAATAGTTGACCAGAAAACTTGGGTTGGATTTCCTGCTGTTTCTGGTGAAGGCAGGGGACAGGTTTGAGGTGTCTCACTCATCCTACAGCTGAAGAAACTCAAGTGATCAGGACAGTGGAGTCTGACAGACAGAAAGGAATGAGCTACAGGAGAATTGCTGGACAAACAGCTGTTTTGAGGCTAAACTGACTGGGAGCAGCTGGATGTGTCAGAGTCCCATTACTGAACACTTTACTCAGTGTTCAGGGGAAAGGAGCTGGTGCTGAAGCTGTACTACAGGTGCTGAATGTGCTCTGTCCCTTGCTGAGGAACAGCACTTCAGGACTAGTTGCTTCTACATGCCTGCCTCACACTCTGAAACTGTGTTCTGAGAGGGAGCTCAATAAATAGCCCAAATGCCAGTTATGATAGAGGATAATTAAACCCTGAACTCTCTCACAGGTGTACAGTAGAAAATTGGGAAAAGGAGGAAGAGGTTGATCTTTATTCCGAACCAGAAATATGTTCACTTAAATCAAGGCCACTTTATTACCACACCTTCCCTAAATGCTTTGAACTTGGAATTGAGAATTGATTAGTGAAGGGTCTACAGAAACAGGGGGGAAACTGAACTAAGTGGTTTTTTGTGTTCTTGGTGCTCACACCACCAAGCAGCACACTCAGTTCAGATGTAGGGAAGCTTTCACTTTTGTCCCACTTGGAAAAAAACCTCTTCTCCATTTCCATTGAATATCACACCTGTTAACCTCTTCTCTCTGGAGGGGGGTGAGGTCCTGGCACAGGTTGCCCAGAGAAGCTGTGGCTGCCCCAGTCCTGGAAGTGTCCAAGGCCAGGTTGGATGGGGCTTGGAGCAACCTGGAATAGTGGAAGGTGTCCCTGCCCGTGGCAGGGGGTGGAACAAGCTGAGCTTTAAGGTCCTTTCTAACCCAAACCATTCTGTGATCTTTTTTGTGGCCTGTGTTTTAACCTGTCTTAACTCCTTTGTTGTTTTTATGGGGCTGTGTGCTGTTTCCTTTCATTTTTCATGGATAGCTGCCTCGTGCAAGTGATGGAAATTGGAGCAGATTTGTGTTTTAGTGTCTTCAGACTCCTCACTCTTGTCATCTCCAACTTGCTCGGAGGCTGCACTGTGACAACTCCGCGTCGCTGCCATTGGTGAAGGGACATATGGAGTGGCACTGTTTGATCCAAACAGGCAGAGAGAAGGGAATGTTTGGCATTTCTGGGAGGGGGGCAAGATGTCCCTGCCGTGCCTGGCATAGTGTTGTCCCAATATGCTTTGCCTGTAACTCCCTGCCTTCTCCTCTCCTCTCTGGTGTGAATGTAGGAATGTCCGTGTGCTATTTGTGGCTTTGCAGCAGTCTCCTGGCTCCTTGTATGGATGAGATTGTCACTCAGCTGAGCAGGATGTGGCCTCTGGGATATAGGCACTATATATTTATAGTGAAACACTCAAGTTCTAGGGCTCTGGGGTTGGGAGCAGTGCAGGGAGCTGGGTGTTCTTGGGTCATTTTGAATATTACACTACACTTAATCCATCTCAATCTTCCTTATGCTTGGAAAATAATTGGGTAAAGCCTCTTAGTTCTCTGCAAGACTGGTGGATTTTCTAGCAGATCTTCAAGGCCAGGTTGGATGGGACTTGGAGCAACCTGGTCTGGTGGAAGGTGTCCCTGCCCATGGCAGGGGGTTGGAATGAGATGAGCTTTAAGTCCCTTCCAACCCAAACCATTCTGTGATTCTTAAGTAGCTGTGAACAGCCCTTTCTTAATTCATCTCAGCTGGACTTGTCTGCTGTTTGACTTTTGATTAGTGCTGCTCCAGGTCATTTAACAGTGAGGTGTCTGGTGTAGGGAAAAGCTGAATTTCAGGTGCTAAAGCAGGGAAGTCTTCCCAGAATGCTCTCACGTGTGGGTTCAGATAGACATGGCTGCTGCTGGACACACCTTATCCAGGAGGGTATTCCTTGTGACAGTGTGGTCATATGAAGTTGTGTAGTTCACTGGTAAGGAATTCTGTTCAGAATTACTCAACTGATGTACCTGGGATTACTGCTCCTTGGGAATTTTAAATAAATGCTGCTGATGCTACTGGCTGGAGGGGAAGGAAGGGTATGGGCTCACCTGTGCAGGTGTCCTCAGCTGCACTGAAACTAATTGTGTCTCTCTTCTCTCCCCAGTACTTTTGTCCATCTGTTCTCTGTTGTGTGATCCCAATCCAGATGATCCTTTAGTGCCTGAGATTGCACGGATCTACAAAACAGATAGAGAAAAGTAAGTATGGAAACCAAAAAAATGTGGAATATGACAGGGCAGAATCTACACTTACACAGTAAAGGGGAACTGAAAGGCCCCAATTCTTGGAAAAGAGTGGAAAAAAAGGCAAATCAAAGCCCTAATTGTGGTCTTTTTAGGGGTGTTTTTGTTTTTCCCTGAGATCTGTAATGCCACTCTCTGAGCTGCTTTAATCCCACATAGCCAGCAGAGGGAGAGCAAGTTACTCCAACGGGAGAATATTCCATGGCAGCTCTGGGTCTGGAATCATACAAAGAAATAACAAAAACTCCCTGTTTCTCCTTCACTTGACAGCACAAGGGAAGAACAAGTGGTGTAGAGGTTGGGGTAGGAAGACTCCCAAGCTTCTGTACAGAGAAGCTTTAGTGCTAATGAGCACTTTAACAGCTTAATGACCATTGTAAACACTTTCTACCTCTCTGTTCCTTCCCAGATCTGGTCAGGGAAGGGAAAATGATCCACAAATTTGCTTTGTCTACTGCATGCTTGAGGAGCAGTGTTAGAGAAGTTCATGCATCCTGTTTTTGAGAGCTGCAAGAGCAGCAGCACCTCTTTGGAGATGCAGTGAACACTGTCTGTCTGCACTTGAAGTGTGCAGGACTCCTCTTCTTTTTTTTCTTCTTTTTTTTTTCTTTTTTTTTCTTTTTTTTTCTTTTTTTTTCTTTTTTTTTTCTTTTTTTTTTTCTTTTTTTTTCTTTTTTTTTTCTTTTTTTTTCTTTTTTTTTTTTTTTTTTTTTCTTTTTTTTTTCTTTTTTTTTCTTTTTTTTTTTTTTTTTTTTCCAAAAATAAGGTAACAAATTTTTGGGCTTAACCATAAGGACTTGCTGCTTGAGTAGTCTCTGAGCAGTGATGGGAAGGAGAGAGTTAGGAGTGGATTTTCAGATTCCTTAAGCTAAAGAATATTGTCTATGGACTAAATTCCAACACAAACCAACTTGGTGTGCATAACTATAGGAAAATTCTGGCTGTAAGTATCTTATTCTTTTAATTCTGTAGAATAAGAACAAGTGGTTGTCAGAGAGAAGCTTTTATCAGTGCAGTTAATCATAACTGCTTTGTTTTACACAAGTATCCTGAACTTCCTCTGACTGTGAAGGGTATTTGGGTGCAAAAGCCACGGGGGGAGTTGGGAATTGTTGTACCTTCAGAACAAAAACAATTCTGATGGACAAATCACTGTGTCCTGACTGTCATCAAAAAATGACAGTCAAATATGTAGCAAGGAACAGGGCTGTTGGGGTTGGGCAGATGAGTCAATGGCAGGTATTGGGTTGAACTTAGAAGGGAGGAGATGGCAGGGACACACAAATCTATTCCAGAATGTCCAAATGAAACCTTGCAGTAAGTTTTCCTAGGGGCTAGGGGAGGCACAGGTAAAGCCTTCCTGAGAATCCTTTCCCCTCAGCCCTTTCCTTGCTCTGTTTTATGGCTCCAGTCACAAAGATCTCATACTCCTGTTGTAAATATGACCAGGTGTTTCTTTTCCATGAAGCATCCTGGGCTTTCTTGTTCCCCCTGTTTGCTCAGTGTTTAATTTTGCTCTTAAATGTTACAAATTGTTGATAGTGTACTGTAGAGAGTGTGAGTTCATGCCATGTGTAGACTAGACTGCTGGAGCTGGAATACTGTGCAGATGCCACGTTAAATAAATCCTCTTTTTGTACATACAGGTACAACAGAATAGCTCGGGAATGGACTCAGAAGTATGCGATGTAATTAAAGAAATTATTGGATAACCTCTACAAATAAAGATAGGGGAACTCTGAAAGAGAAAGTCCTTTTGATTTCCATTTGACTGCTTTCTATGAGCCCACGCCTCATCTTCCCCTGTGCACATGTTTACCTGATACAGCAGTGCTGCGTGTTGTACATACTTGGAACAACAAACTAGAAATACTGTATTTCCCCGTACCAACATTGACTCCTAGCAGAGAAGTGTGTGTGTGAAAAGCTGGTTCTTCAGTCATAACTTTGTGAGCCTAAAAGCATTCCTTGCTGAGTTCAAATTGGGTAATCAGATGGGAATGGGAAGAGTCCTGGTGGTTCTCAGAGGTTTGTTTTTTTTTTAGGGACAGTGTTGCTGATCCATGAAGGATTTTAAGTGGAATCCTTTTAAACTCATAACAGTTATGAAAAGCAAGGTGAAGAACTTGAAACTGTTTCTGTATTCATTTTATTCTGAAGGACCTACACCTTAGGTAAATGTTATGACCAATGAGAAACTGTACCCACATCCTGTGTTTAAGGTCTAAGTTTAACCGGTCACCATTTAAATGGATTGGAGCTATTAGTGCATCAAGTGATGTTGATTTGTTTCAACTCTCTCCCTCCCTTCATACTTTTTTTGGTTTGTATGTGGTTTCTCAGTTAATACCTAGCTAATAGCTCTTATTTTTTTCTTAAGTTTTTTAACTGCTTAGGTCTTTCTGGATGTAAGGGTAAAAAAAAAAAAATCCATTTGACAGAAAACTTGTGTGTATTTAAAGACCCAACTGCTCCCCTGGAGCTTGTACGTTCAAGAATGATTAATCTGTGTAATAAACTGATTACTACAGTCATTACATATAACTTTGTGTGAATAGGCTTTTAATTTTCAGAGCAGTTTGTTACAGGCTTAAACTAACGGTGGATTTCTCTTAAAAAACAAAAACAAACCAACTTTTGGGTTGAAGTCGTGAAGCAGTTTGGTTTGCATCACACAAGGCACCTGAAGAGGCAAACAGGAGCTTGAGCACTTAGATGAAATCAGGATGTGTAGTGTGCCAGGAACTTGACTGTTAAACCAAATAAGCAGTTTACTAAATGCGAATCAGAGTGACATTTTACAAAGCCTGATGGTATTACTCCCACTTGCATGGGACCTAACACAATGCATATGTACTGTAGGTAAGTGAAACCTTATGTAACTAAAAAAAAAAAATGGATGTAAAAGGGTAAAAAAAATGAAAAAAAACAACCTACCAAACACATCAGCACAAACTTTCATAAAATGTAGCTTTTACATAATTACTTTGCACTAAACATTTGCAAATGTTCATACAGTTTTAAATTGTACTTGTATGTGTCTTTTTTTTTTTTTTTTTTTTTGGAACAAAGTCTTCACTTGAATCTAGTGAAAAACAAAAAAAATGTAGTTTGAAACTTTTCTTTGTATACAAGTGTATTTGCCAGCATCGTTGGTGTGACAGTAGGTGAGTCTGCAAGTTTATCTCCTCTTAGTAGAATTGTAACCCAAGCCATCGGGCAGGAGAGGCTGGAGCCGCTGGCTCTCCGGCCACAGGGTCTGTCCCAGCCATTCCCAAATGCATCTTGACACTCTTGCACAAACGAGGAATAAATGTCCACTGCTTTTGGTCTAAACCTGTTCCGCTTGTCTCATCTCTGGGTGTGTCTGCAGTGCTGCAGGAGGTGTGGCCCTCGTGCAGGGAGCTGTGTCCCTCTCCAGAGGCACCAGGAACACTGCTCTCCTGGCCTGGGGGCAGAGTGGCTTTGCTGGAAAAGGCATGGAGCACGTGTGTCCTGGCTGAGGGGTGACAGCTACAGGGGAGGGGGAGAGATTGCTGTGCAGGGCTGTGAGCCTCGGGTCGGGCCTCCCTCAACTCTTGGTGTCTGGAATGCTGGGAAGGCAGGGTGTGACTCTGGGTAACACCTGTGGCATTGGCAAACCTGGAGTGCAAGCTGGTGGCTGGGTTTGTGTCAGCCTGGCCTTTACTGACCTGTTGTAATGTGCAGGCTGTGCTCCTGCTGGACCCTCAGCAAGCACCTCAGTGGGGGAGTTTCACAGTTTATCACAGAATATTCTCAGTTGGAAGGGACCCCCAAGGATCACTGAGTCCAACTCTTAAGTGAATGGCCCATGCAGGGATGAAACCTTGTCATTATTAGCACCATGCTCTGACCAACTGAGCTACTCTTAGGGTTGCCCTCCCCTGTTTTTCCATGGGGTCACAGAAAGACAAGGGAGGAGCTTTGGGGGGATTCTCTTTACCTGCTTTGCAATGGAGCCTCCCAAGAATGATTTTTTGAGACAGACCTGGTTGGCTTTAGCAATTGGAAGTTGCTGAAAAAGATCACAGGCCTGTATGAGGGGAGAGAAAAAGGAGCAGTGACAACTGAGAGAGCTGAGGGAGATGGTTTCCCTTTCTGGTGGAGCAGAAGTCACATCCACGAGGTGACAGGACATTAATAAGCCATACATGCATTGAAATAGTCCTGAGTCTGTAACAGCTGCAGCTTGGATGATCCATTAACACATCTGCTCCTGTTGGGATGAGTCTCACTTGCAGTGAAGTGCTCAGGCAGTTCAGACTTTTTTTGCTGTTGGCACGACCACAATTGTGTAGTAAAATCAAGTCTGGTGATGTTTGAGCAGGGAGGATGTACTCTGTCCCTTGTGTGGGATGACCACTCGTTTGGGAGGGTTGTACTGTGAACTAGATGAAGGAGCCTTTTTTTTTTTTCCTAGCATTTAACTGAAAACCTGACCCAGCTTAGCTATTTTTGGGACTAGAAACCTGCTCCTTTGAAGCTGTACATTGCGTATGTTCCAGTGTCAAACAGCACAGGAGGCCACGGGCTCGGGATGTTGCCTTTCTAGGAACATTGAGCTTGTCATGTCATCAACCTCTTGCATCCCTGTCCAGTTTTTAAACTCTCATTTAGTATTTTAAGTTGCCTGTTTCCCTTTGCATGGCTTTCTTTGCGCTGCGGATTCTATAGATTGCTCATGAGATTCCCCTTTTTCTTTACATGTGCTAAGGAAATGTGTTTTATTAAAAAGTACTGAGCTGCTTAGATCCCCCCAGCTCTGGCAGCAGAGCTGGAACACTGTGCCTGGATGCATCCTTGAGCTCATCAGTGCCCATCCACTGCATGGAGTGACCCAGAGGAGGAACATGATCCCATGTATTTTGGAACCGCTCCTAGTTCAGTGCTGAGTTGGCTTAAAACATTCCCATGGCTCAAAGCCCAACCTCCCTGGACCTGCAGATTGGGATGGAGCTGATCCTGGGCAGTACTGGAGACCTGATTACTGTGCTTGAAACACCAGCTTGTCCTTCAGCAGGATGTGCTGCTGCATTTCTGTCACAGCTTTTTGGCAAGGCAAGAGGGGTTTTTTTAAAAAAATATTTTTAGTTATTATCATGCTTTCCCAATGCTTCCAAGTGAGCTGCATCCTGAAATGTCCTTGGACTCTTCTGTTCAGTCTGCATCCATCAACTGATGTAGCAAAAACAGCAGGGCTGAGTTGGAAATGATCTTGTGTCCCTGGTGTGCTCAGCAAACTCTTCCCTGTCCTGGGCCTGTGACTTTCCTGGTGGTTTTCCTGGCTGCAGACAGCAATGCCTGGCTGCATTTTTGGATGGTCTCAGTCACCTTCAGCAGCAAAACAGCTCTAGACCTGTTCTTGTTCCCAGCTCTGCTGTACAAGAGAAGATCAGGAGCCTAAAGGAAGGATAATGGGAAACTTTGCCCAGTTAAAGGTGGATTTTCTTTGTGCCCTGAGCAGCAAATGCTGGGGAGAGCAAGGCAGGAGACCTGGGCATGTGGGAGGTGCAGAAGAAAGCTGCTCCAATGAGTTACAATTATAAAACCAGGACAACAAACCACTTCTGAATGTGCTCAGTGCTCCCACTCCAGGTGGAGGAGCCCTTGGGTCAGGCTCCAGGCATGTCCAGGCAGAGCTTGGAAGTCACCTCCTGGGACAATAAAAGCCCAAAGGTGTGTCTGAGTGGAAGGAAGGCTGTCCTTGATAAATACAGAACCTTGGAGCAATCTTCTCATCCACTCAGCACTGGAGAAGCCTCCCTCCCTCTCCTGCAGGTAGCTGGAATGGAGCTTCATTCCCTGCTGCCGTCCATTCCTGGGCTCTTTGGGTAGGCTTGGAGCAAGTCTGTGCTCAGAGCTGGAAATCTCAGTTGTTTGGGTTTGGCAGAAGCAGTTTCCAACAGGGAATGCACAGGGACAAGAGCACTGAAGGTGCCTGATGGAAGGTTAAAAGCAGGACAAATCCTGCTCCCTAGCTTTTGGGAAGCATGGAGACCAGCCCCTGTGTGAGTGAGGGCGCTCAGAGACTCCAGGAGGGATCCCTGCAGCTGCCCCTGCCCTCCCCTGGAAGTGTGTGTGACTAGATCTGTGCTAACACTGCCTGTACTCTTGTATCGTGTTGCAATTTGATCATTAAATAATTCCCTCAAAATCACTGTGGCTTAATGGCTTTTTTTTTCTTTTTAACCCCTTTATTTTGGCTCGTGCTGCTTCCTTTCCTCTTGTGGCTGCTCTCTCCCTTCTCCCTGATGCTCCAGTCCTGTGCTGTCCCTCTCTCAACCATCTCCAGTCACCTTCATCTTGGCTCTTTTAGCTCCCTACAAAGCCTGGCTCGCTCTGGCCACGGGCAGGGCTTTGTGGGTGACCTGGAGTGGCCTTGGTGGTCAATGTGCCTGCATCTTCATGCAGAAATATCTATGCTCTCACCAAACCCACACTGTCCCTTTCCTTCTTGGAACTCATGACTTAAAAGCAGGTTTGCTGGTGCTTTGATTTCCACATGAGCTGCTTCCAGCACCTCAGTCCCTGATCCAGAGGGTTCACTGCTGTGTGAATCTGGGATCAGGCTCTGGAGCAAGAGCACAGGGTGTTTGTGGTGCTGGAGAGAGCCAGAGCTGGCTCTTCAGGAGTTCCCACAACTCGTGGCTTACTCTTCCTCTGATCTGGCACCCACAGGACCTATTTTATTGTTTCTGCCTCTCAGTGTCTCCCCTGCTCCTGCCCTGGGTGAGAATGTTTAGTTTTTGTTGTTTACAGTCAGGTGAAACCATCTCGGGGCGAGTGGGAGCTGGATATATTTACCATTCTTGTCTTTTCACGAGCAAAGCCATTTGTTGCTCAGCTCTAAATGTTTCTTTGGGTTGAAAGAGCAAGTTGTGGGATGTAGATAAAAGTTTGCATTTTGAATAACCGGTGAACTCCTGTTCATTCCCTCCCTGGAAGTGTCCAAGGCCAGGTTGGACGGGGCTTGGAACAACCTGGGGTTGGAACTGGATGAACTTTAAGGTCCCTTTTAGTCCAAACCAGTCTGATTCTGTGAACTTGGATGACTGGGAATGGCATCTGTGGTTAGAGCTGGTATCAAACCAGAAATGCTGCTGACCTTCTGCCCTGGTGTGTGATGACTGGGAGAGAAACTTGTTCTTAGCTGATGGTAAACACAGAGGGAGCAGCTTCCAAAGCCTGATGGGATCAGTCTGTGCCCTGGTGCCCTGCCTGGACATGAGCACCTGCTTTGCTTCTCCTCCTTTGGGGTCTTGTCAGGAGTGAATTTAATCTGCACAGGCTGAACATTTTTTAGAGCTTTTTTCTTGCTGGTCTTTGACATGGTTTTTTTTCAAAAGACAACCTAATCTTGGGGTTATATGAGTGCTGTATTTTTGGTTGAGAGGGGTTGGTTTGGGGGTTCTTTTTGTTTGTTTATTTGTTTGTTTTAAATACTGGCTTATGTGGCATCCACCATACATTGGTACTGATAAGAAGCCCAAACAGCCCCTGTGTCCTGTCAGGTGTGG